GGTGGGCCTTCCTCAGGGCGTCCATCGCTGAGGGACACAGGGGGACGGGAGAGTTATTCCACAGACACCGACACTGTCTGCTGTGCAGGTCACTGTGAGCACCATTAATGACTCAAGTGAGCCTCTGGGATCTGTACTGTGGTAAATACTCATCTGTTCGAGTGTGTGAGGGGTGCCTCTAGGGTCAGTATTAGGGTCTGTAGTAACGTCTGTGTGTTAGGGGTGTCTCTGGGGTCTGTATTAATGTCTGTGCATTAGGAGTGTCACTAGGGTCAATATTAGGATCTGTATTAATGTCTGTGCATTACGAGTGTCACTAGGGTGTGTATTAATGTCTGTGCATTACGAGTGTCACTAGGGTCTGTATTAGGGTCTGTAGTAATGTCTGTGTGTTAGGGGTGTCTCTGGGGTGTGTATTAATGTCTGTGCATTAGGAGTGCCTCTAGGGTCAGTATTAGGGTCTGTATGCATCATGCACCTTGGGCAGTGGCATGAGTCTCCTCCTCCAGCAGCCGCTCCCTCTCCCCCTCCAGCTCTCTCTTCTCCCGGTCATGCCGCCTCTGCATCTCCTCCAGCGCCTGCCTGTGAGCGCGCTCCATGGCCTCCAGGCTCCGCGCACAGGGGCTGCCGGGGCCACAGCCCCCCGCCCCCCGCAGGCGGTCCAGCTGCTGCCTGAGAGACGCCACCTGAGAGGGTGCCGCAGGCAGGCGGGGATAATGGGTACAGAGTGACTGACTGGGCACTACAGCGCAACAGTGACACTGCGCAGAGAGACACTACAGCTGGAGGACGGGGAGCAGGAGGCAGAGGGACGCCAAGAGAGATTTAAACAGAGGAAATGCAGGGAGAGATAAAGCACAGGGAGAACTGACAATGCAGAAGAAGAAAAGAATTTTATAAAGATAAAAAAAGGCTTCCAATTCCAAAAAAAAAGGCACGTGACTGACTCACCTCTTTCTGCAGAGCCTCATTGGCCGGCTGCCCGGAGCGCGAGCCAATCAGAGGCACCGACCGCATCTCCCGGAGGGGGAGCCTCTCAAACTCCACCCACCGCTTCTCGATCTCCTCCTCCAATCGCTGCCTCTGCTCCGCAGTGGTGGGTGGGGCTCCACCCAGCGGCCCCGCCGCTTTCCGGGACAGAACAGCATCCCATTGGCTGCTGGTGTTCGTTGCATTGGACGCGGGGGCCGTCTGGAACCAGCGGCTTCTGTCCTCCAATCGCTGGGCCTGCTCCTTCCCCAGTCCCTCCCCCTCTTCTCCCTCGTTGGCCGGGGATGAAAGCCCCGCCCCTCCGAGGTCGGAGGCTGCGGTCACAGGAGCCAGCTCCACGTAGTCGAAGCGTCGGGGGGTCAGGGTGGGCGTGACCTCTGACCCCCCCTCCTGCTGGTAGCGCGTTGACCCACGGCGAGTCGCTGGGCGATCTCTCGAGAGGGAGTTTTCCTTATCGCTGCCGTTGTCCGTCAACCTAAGGTGGAGAGACCTCGTTAAACCTTACTGTCCCAAACAAATCTGTGCTACTGTGCGTCACTCCTGTGTGCTGCCCTGCCTGATCTTTGCAGCTCCAACACACAGAACCTGACAGCTTCTCCACGAGTTGGGATTCAAGTCCTAGT